ATTGTGAACACAATAGAGGGTATAGTTTTAGACAGGGGTTGCTGGGAAGCATTGGGTTCACGAGAGCCGATATATCGATATTAAGCATTTTGTGACTTTCCGTTTCGGAGTCATCTCCCTTGTAAACACGATAAAGGTTATAGTTTTTAAGAGATTTTGTAAAATTTGGTGTGAAGAAAAACATGAACGTGATAAAGGTTAAAGGTATTAATGTATGTTTCATATATTTGGTTTGACGCATTGAGATCATCGATCTACATCCATATTCATATTCCGCAGCTTTCCTTCCCTTTCTTGAAAATTATGTGATAGACCAGAGGCTAGAGGTTTTAAACGATTGTTTTATATTTCAAATTAGGTTGGAAGCAATGGAGTCATAAGAGGTTGAATCCCATAGAATAGATTTCTTCAAATTTCTTCAAATTTGCTCAACATCCTTTTGGATAAGCAGCAAGTGATGCCAAGGTCCCACAGGACATTTTTCACCACGAGGATGTACGTAATACCGATGTAAATTGATGAGCGTCGGGCACGGTTTCCACAGCATCTAAGGGAAAGTCTGGGGGCATCGCGAGCAACTTGGAACCATCGGCGGACCTCAAGAGAACTACGAAAAAGCTTGCATTGTCGGAAAAACAGGCTCATCAATTTCCATTGGTAGTACATCACCGAGGCAAAAAATGCCCAGTGGGACCTAGGTATTAGATAAAGCTGCTGCGTGGGCGTATTCCACACTTTGCGTACCCTGTTATCTTGGTTTATCCTTCAGTCTCTAAACCATGGTGTAACCTGGAGTTCTGGTAGAGTCGCTAAACCATGATGTACCCTGTAGTTCAGGCGGAGTCTCTAAAACATGATGTACTCTTTAGTTCGGATTGGGTCTCTAAACCATAACGGACCCCTTAGTTCCGGGGAGTCTCAAAAACATGATGTACCCTATAGTTCGAATAGAGTCTCTAAACCATGTTTACACTGTAGTTCAGATGTAGTTTCTAAACCATACTCCTTCCAGTGTTTTCCTTGATTAGACCTAATCCTAGAGAGGGATTTCTCGGACCATTTTTTCAGGAATATGGGTTTACCCTGTAGTTCGGGTTCTATACTGTTCAGGGTTTAAAACATAGTTTTGTAAATAGGAGGTCGATCGTCCAATGAATATGAACTGTATGATATGTTGATCCCGACATGACATAGTTTTTCTTAAAGGGATATATTGTTAATGCGCTTTAAATATCTGGATGCAATAGACGTGGTGTAGAAAATTCTAGATACATTAAAATGTTCGCAATAGGAGAGATTTCTTGCTATGGCTTCATCGTCTTGATTATAATCCCAATGTTACAGAATACAATAACCCCCTCTACCGCATATTGTAATTACAGAATACATAATAATATTTTAACCTGGCAGGTATAACGTCATTATGTTATCCTCTTACCTCTTAGAGCTCATTGTGCTACCTGAGAGGTATGTGCAACCTTATGACACCTTAATTACAATAAATCATATAGTTTATTCAGCTCGAAGTAAGACCTTAAAATAAATAGATACAGTTGGTTTAACTTGAATAGGATTTCTCTTATCACATTTCAGTTGAATCACGTTATATATTTTATGCACTGATGCTGCATATCGTCTTACATATTTGTCTGGTGGGAACCGGATCTCTCACATGAAATAAAATGAAATGGCGTTTAAAGTCCTACTTTTCTGCTCCATCAACGCTAATGAAACCGAGCATGCGCCACGCAGCGTACTAAGCGGTTAATTTTGCCTGAACAGCCGTGCTACGCCCTACTTGTAATTCTTAATTCCATCTGTAAAGTTAATGTGAATGCTAGTGTATATAAGGAACTAACATTTTTCGTCTAAACCGAACGATTAGACGTTGTTCCTTGCCAGGTTCGCCCCACCCCCCTTTGAAAGGGGGGAAACCGCAATGGAAAATCAAGAGGAACTTTCATAAAGGTCTAAATTGGTCTCATAACTAGAAGTTATATATGGTGTCATGTACAAAGCAGGATATGCTTAATCTTTCAGAATCACCCAGTACATGATGTTTTCCATTGGCAATGGGGCGTAAAATCCTAAACCAACGATAACGACATCTTCACGTCTTCATAATTTTCAAACTTATTCTAATAATCTTTCTCACGACCAAAATATACTGTTACTCAAATAAGCTAGTAACCTTTCACACAACCAAACATACAGCGTGACTCAGATATGACTGTGATCAAATCTACCATCTTTCACACAATCTAACCCCACGTCCACAGAAATATAAATATTAATGTGTGTGTCCTCATGGATCCTTGATTCTCCTGCAAAATTAGAGGTCATCCATATCCCTGAACTCAACCTGAATTAAAATGATATCAAATAATCTTCAGATTCAGTTCAATCTTTTTCATCGACCTGAAGAACCTTTTGTATACTAATTAATTATATTGTTCCGGGGATCACGTGGCTAAGTCAGTAAGACGCTGGCTCGCTAGCCTGGAGGTCAGGTGTTCAATCCCTGCATTGGCCGCGAAAGTTCATCCAGATTTTCCGGCGTGGTTCCCCCTTGTCATTGATGCAGAACGGAGGGCCTGACAAGCATAGCTGTCTAGTCGTTCGGATGGGACGAAAAACCGAGGTCCCGTGTACACATCGGCGTGCACGTGAAAGATCCATTGACAGTTGGAATTCGATATAAGAGTAGGCCGTAGTGCCGCTGTCCGGGTAAAATTTCCCTCATAGCACACTACATGTCCGTCTTCATAAGCCCAGTTCGGAGCAGAACAGTAGGACGTTAAACCCCATTTCATTTCATTTCATTTTCCGGGAACAGTTGAAACCTCTGTAAACAACGCCATAAAAGAATCACGAGAACGAAATTAAATTTTTGGACTGAATAAATTGATTGTGTTATACGATAAGGTTATACGTGCATGTGAAATAAGTAAGGGTCATGATAACCCTGTATATGTACATTATATAAGATACATGTAGTTTACCCCAAATAAACAATTTCTTTCCGGCCCAATGAGCCACAATCTTGACAAACAATCTGTACATACTTTAGATATATATATATTTTTAGAATTCATAATGTAGTGTATTTAATATCTGCAGTGTCATATATTGCTAGCGCTTTGTTGGCAGGAAATTTTGGGGTCAATTTTACCCTTTACATAAGATACAAATTTATCCCCAATAAACCATTTCTTTCCACCCGTGTGAGTCATAATCTCGACAAACTGTTTTCTTAGAATTCACAGTGTATTGTATTTAACATCTGAAGGACAAAAGTACAGATAGTTATGAAAGCCTAATCCCCTGTTCTTACAATGTATGATAAAGGAGCTCGTGACAAGGAGAAGGGTTTAGTCGTTCGACTCAAACGTAAGAGCCCAGTCCCGGTTACAAATTATTTTCGTGCATGTACACAAATCCCCTGATAGTTGGAATTGGAATTGGTTCCTTCATAGCCCGGGTGAAGCAGTAAATTAGGACGTTAAACCCAATTTCAATTCATTTATTAATTAATGAAAATATCCTAATCTAGCAGAGCTTCAAGTTACATTAGGAGTTATGATATAAAGAAACATTTTCTATTTTGGGGTTTATTGAGTTATATGATATGAAGAAAGGTTTCTGTATTTTGGAGTAGACGACTTATATGTTATAAAAAAACGTTACTGTAATTTACCAACTGTTTGTTTGATGATTAATATTAATGGCGTATCATCAAAAAAAACCTAACCTGTACAGAGGAGATAGCCTGGGACAGGTATGAAATTCAACAGGTGCCCCTTGGAACTAGCTAAACAACCACAGCTAGTTTGAAAAATTAGTTTTCAAAAAGTTTTATCTGTCAAATGTTTACAAGAATTGTGGTCGGGCGGAAGGATCTACGGAAGGGTAGGGGTGAATACAATATAGTCACATATTAAATGAAGGCGCATGAAGATTCTCAATTTCTGCTGTTTACACGTCATTCCCCAAAAAGCCAAGTTAAAGATAATTTTTTCCAAAGGCTTTCTTTGTGTCTCATTATTCATATGATTCAACGCAAACCATGGGCTTGTCAACAGTCAATGGGAAAAAAATCCTGCCCCATTTATGGCTAACGACCATTTAAATAGATATGAATTCTGCTTTTAATGACATATTAAAGCTAAACTGATATCTATACAGCTACAAAATTGACAACTTCCATTTATGGTAATTTGTACATGACACTTCACCGAATACATGACTAATTTTTTTACATTTCAATAAAGTCCCGCCCTTTAATACGCGTAACACGTGATTACCGCATGATTCTTTTACACAAGAACACAATAAGAAAATAAAATATTCATGGATAGCAAAGTCAAATGAGCCACAAAACAACTAAAGAATTTCTAGAAAATTCCCAATAACATAAACACAAATCCGGTTTATCGTGCACGATGCAGGGTATACATGTTCTGTCAAGAATAACTGATACAATTTTGCTCTGTTTTTTTCAATTATGTCATTTATAGTTTTTTGGCTGACTGCGTGCGTGTGTCCTTTCCCCGGAAAATATATTTCATCTAGCACTAGAAACAAATCTTGTGAGATAATTCAAGTAATATTAAATAACACAAAATACATAACACGTAGTTTAACGTACTACTGTTTTTCCACCTACAAGTCTAATACAACGTCGTTGTCGTTATGGACATTTTTTCAAGGTGAAGTAATAATAATAATAAAAATAATAATAATAATAAAAACTTTTTTAATGAGGCAACTTATTTAGTTTGCAAAAAAAAAATCATCCATAAATCCTTCCTTAGCTACAAAGACATACCTTACATAACAGGTTTCAATTTCAAAAAGTTTGTATAGTTACACAATATATAAGATGGAGATATATATAGTAGCATTAGTCATAATCTACCAATCATACAGGACAACGTTTAAATCACGCAATGAATGTCTGAAAGTTTACTAGAGGTGTCACTAAACAAACGCGCATATATCTAACAGCATACCCCAAGGCGAGCGTCAGAAACTATCCAGACAGCAGACGTTAAACAGCTACCCATCTAGAGTTGGTGATTGCTTCAAATACAAGAAAAATTAAACACATTCAGGTAGATATGATATTTTTTAATATATTTATTTCATATTTTTATTATATAGTAGAAAATCCTTCATAATAAAAATCTATTAATATTTCATATCTTTATGTAGTAGGAAATACTTCATATTTTTATATATTCGGAACTCTTTCGTAATAACTCTATTAATATTCAGCTTCTTATCGGCGTGTACATGGATTTAAGCAGATGGTGCAGACGTCAAGTTTGTCGTGAGGTTTTGGGGATTATCTGAGATTTTGATAAAATCAGAAGGTCTGAGACAATATTTCTGCTCATTTAGGTTCCTGGCCGGTATAGGATTAGAGTGGTGTGAACCGATTGAATCCTGTTCTGTATAGGATTAGATTGAAGTAATCCGATTGAATCCTGGCCTGTAGGATTAGACTGGAGTACTTCGATTGAATCCTAGCCAGGAAATTATCTACCCTTGATATTTGATTTTGTTTTCAAATTATTTTTTTTAAAAAAAACTATCTGGGATTAATACGTATAAATATATTTCAACAAAATGTAGATGACAAATCCAAAACCTTTGAATATGTTTAATTGAATACCTACAATTACCACAGACAAAATCACGCTGTTTTTAATTATTCCTGTTGAATGACTTCATTACCTATAATATATTTAGAATTTGCGTCCCAGATGACCGGTATTTTAACTACGGCATTGTTTATCAAACAACTTTTCTATCTCAATCTGGCTCATGAATACACCTTGATGTGTGTTGTGACGGAAAGCGTAGGATTAGGAAAATTCTGAAAAATAGATTCGATTTGATTTGATGCATTCTGAGTTATATTCCGGCCCAGTTACATACGTTGAATAAAATAGAAATATTAAACATTTTGTGAATTAGAGCATAAGTTTCAAGCTTCAATTTTGGTAATGATAGGAACGTCACGACTTGAGGGTAACCTTCATATTTTCTAAACCTAAATATCGAATCTCTCGGTCTATCCAAAAATGCGAGGGATTGGGGGAGGGGCACAAAAGATATCAAGAACAACATTAAACGATTCTAAGAAAAAAATCTGGGACATCCGTATTTTATATATTACATATTTTTGTACAATAGTAAACCTCATAGGGTATTCTTAATTTTAAGTAGAAAAAATGCATTACGCCAGTATTTTAAGTTTATTTCAACGTTTCAAGTATGTCTTATTTGTATTTTAGTTTATTTACTTTATTTGTATATTTAATATATGTACCCAAGGATGCGTACTATGATTTATAGTCACAATACTTTCAGATGTTACAACTAAGATTGTAATAGGGGATGTTCTATTGGGAACGATCCACATTCCGAGCATTGCAATCGAGTATCGCAATCGAATGAATTGCAATCACATTTCTGTCAGTCCGGACAACCCAGATGGTGCTAGTAGAATTGTGACGTAATTAAACACAACGAATGTGTTTCAGATATCATGGTTGGTTGGGGTATTTTCATATGTAGTTGGTGTATGCGTTGTAGCCCGAAATCCCCATTTTCACTCGGCCTACTTTTGGGATTGAGCATAAATCAGGTATCCCCTGTGAGTAATGCACCCTTTTAAAGGGTGCATGGCTCTATGTTTTGGAACCATAAATGGGTCTAAATGCACATATTTATGTATAATATGAGTGTATATATGTTCAGTGAAATACGTGAACTCGCTAGCCTAAAGGTCGCGTGTTCGATCCCGCATTAGTCAAGAAAGTTCATCAGGATTTTTCGGCGTGGTTTCTCCTTGTCAGTGGTGCAGGGGGGAGGGCCTAACAAGAACAGCTTGTAGTCGTTCGGATGGGACGAAAAACCGGGGTCCCTTGTACACATTGGCGTGCACGTAAAAGATCCCTTGGCAGTTGGAATTCGATATAAGAGCAGGACATAGTGCCCCTGCCCAGGCCAAATCTCCCTCATAGCACAGTGTATTATGGCGGGGTACCGGTTTCAAAATGCATTCTAGAGTAAAAAGCAGAAAGTTAACAGTAAAAAGTAGAAAATCTAAAGTAAACGGGAAAATTCTTATCTAAAAGGGTATTTTTATGGTGGCTAGGCACTTGACTAGCACTGATGGTGATTTTGGTAGATAACCGTCGTCATGTTGTAAGAGAACTAAGCTAAGCTCAACTACTCATACGTACGCGATACGGATGTGAAAGATTCCGCTTGCCAAAAGTCTATAATATTCAAGTCTACTTTGACGTATGCTCTCACTAATACTGTTGTTATGTCTTGTTGACGGGTTATGAAAATGGCGAAAAATTACATGGCCACTATCAGCCACCATAGTATTGGAGAAAATCTGCGTTAGAAAATCGTGAGTAGAAAATCTGAAGTGGAAAGTCGAGAATTAAAAGTTGACAGTAGAAAGTAGAAAGCGGAAAGTCGAAAGTCAAAAGTTGATAGTAGAAAGTAGAAAATATGTCCATGAAAGTTGAAAAGCTTGATGTTTCTCCAGAATAACTACATAAATTTATAGGTCTTCACCATAAAAATACCCTTTTAGATAAGAATTTTCCCGTTTACTTTAGATTTTCTACTTTTTACTGCTGACTTTCTGCTTTTTACTCTAGATTGCATTTTGAACCCGATACCCCGCCATAGTGTATGGCGTATGCCATCTTTATTAGCCCAGTCGAAACAGAGCAGTAGGACTTTAAACCCCATTGCATTTCCTTTAGGGTGACAGTACTTTAAATTCATGCTTTTTGGCGATTGCTGGGATTCCATAAAATAATTGAGCAGTTAGGTGTTTCACATAACCAAACATATGTATAATACAGCCAGCTCTCCACATCCTTAATCCAGCTGGAATACACAGGTCAGTTTTATAGAAAGACAATCGGAAAGAAATAAAATCTAATTTTAACTTATTCTTGTTTTCTCAGATAAAAGACTAGGTGAAGTGAGATACCTACATGTATCTAGGTCGAGTATAGAAATTATACAAAATCCATTATCAAGATGTCGAGATACCAGGGTAAGTGGAAGATTAATAATATACCTTCTTTGCTCTCAGGTTCACAATGATGCCACATAATATTGTCTTTAGTCGATACAAAGGGCTTATATCATAAAACTTGTTCTTTACCTGCCCAAGGGGGGTTGGATGGCCGAATGGTTAGCACGCGTGCGCTGTATCATACGGTCTGTCATTGAGTCAACTGGCGGGGTTTCGATTCCCTGGTTGTACGTGGAGTAGGGTCGCCTGTCCAACCTCGTGGGTTTTCTCCGGGTCCTCCGGTTTCCTCCCACAGCTAAAGACCCCTACGCGCAAGCGAATTATTGAAATAAAATTGAACCATGTGTTAGTCCCGAAATGACCTGGTTTGTGTCGAGTGGACGTTAAACCCCATTTCTCTCTCTATTTTTACCTGCCCAAATTTCAAGAGGGTCTCCTGAATATCTTTTTGGATATAAACCAAATGTGGTAGTCATGTTGATTGAGTGATAATTTTAAATGGAATTGGTCGGTTCAACATGACCGGTTACTTCTTTTGCATTATAATTCTTTCCTATTCTTACTCATAGTTTTTGTTTTGTGAAAAATGACTCACGCCCTAACATTATATTTAATTCATCCATAGCTACTGTCATATTGTTCATACACTTATGGAGTATTAAAGGGCCAATCCCGATAATATTTTGGAGAATAAAACTTCTTATTTTTGTGTTAAAATCCCTTAAAATCCTCTACCGTAGGGCATAGCAACTAACTCAATATATTATGTGATAAGTTTTCAAACAACTTAAACCCGGCATTCCTCATATGGAAATGGAGACCGGTGTCCCAAGCTGTATTATGCTGTGTCTTGATAAAACCAGACTTTTATTTTATAAAAATAAGGTGTAGGTGAAATTTACCTTTTGTTATCAAGTACAGCACATGCGTCGTTCATTGTATAGACCTCTAACGGAACGGGAATCGATTATCAGGTCACCCAACGAAACAATTGACCCGAAATCTTAAAAGGGTTACGTGTCCGCATAAGCAGTTTTGACTCAATATTTTGAGCTGAAATTTTAAGAAAGGGTAAATACATCATTCCTCTATATTTTGGCGCTTAAATTTCATGCGTACTCGGACTTTTATTTTTGAGACTCTGTTCAAATCGGGATAGTTCCTTTAAACCCTATCGATTACTACTCCTTGTTTTGGATTTTGCATTTTGCATCATCTCTATAAATAGAACACTTTCCCAAACCGTGGTATTATCTTGGTTGTCTTCGGGTATGGGCGATTTTGGAAGATAATAATGTAATTATTATTTCTAAGAAATTGTCTCGACCTTTTTAAACTGAATAGCCCAGGGGAAGGACGATCTAAGTCACTTTTTCCATGAAACTCAGTTAATGGCGCCACCTGGTAGCAAATTGTATAAACTTTATGTGGAACAATGAATTTCAGGTCAAAACGATTGGAGTCACATCGAACCAGGGCCTTTCAGAAATGGCCTCCCGATCGAGATCGATCTAAATCGTACCCTTTATTTGACCTCAGTTTGACTAAAAAGTTGAATTCAGTTGTACTGGTAATTATGATTCGTATTAAACATCATTTTGAAGTTATAATTAAACCAACTCGTTGTTCTGTTCGTGTCAAGCATTCTTGTCCATCAGGTTTCAAAGTTTGTTTAGCGTCTTATGCGAAAAGCCAAAAATGTGACTTGAATTGAGTGGCAATCATATAAAATGTCATTTATTATATTAAAACGTAAAAAATTGACATACATATTTCGAGCTTCAGAGAGCTCGACTGGGTTTCGTTTCTTAAATATGGCAAGGTTTGAGGGCGTTTGGAAAAGTGGACCATGAAAAATTTATGAAACATTTTATTTTTATTTTGCTGGAACAGTAATAGATTATTCTATCATCCTGAAAGATGTGGGGAAAATATATTCTAGAAAATTTTATTCTATGGTGTTTTTCCCCACAAGAGTTCCACAGGATATTGGACTTTTTTTCAAAATTTCTTCTTAGACCCCTTATATGCCTGTGTGGTACCACAATCCGCAAGATTTTGGACTTAGAATAATTCTGATGCAGTGTTTTGGATCTGTGGTGTTTTTCACCAGAAGAGTTCCACAAGACATTGGACTTAGAAAACTTCAAATACGTATATATAGAAATGAGTTTTTAAAAATAAATCATGCCTTGCTGATCGCGGTAGTATAAATATTTTCTGAAATCTACAATGAAATGTCATCACAATGTCAAATTTTAACGCATCAAACTTTATTATATGACAGTCGTGGAAATCATGATTAAGCAATACGAACATGATAATTGATCGGACAAAACAATCTCCTTCGCCATCTCGGTCGTAGTAACCATACAACATCAAAGGTCGGCGATATTGTCTTTGTTTCAATCTCAAACTCAAGCCATTAAGGGCCTTCTACGACATTGTGTACTCTGGTTAAAAGAAGTCATTATAACCTCACTTAACTTTAAAGGGACTATCCCGATTTGAACAGAGTCTCCAAAATAAAAGTCCGTGTACGTATGAAATTTCAGGTCCAAAATATAGAGGAATGGTGTATTTACCTTGTCTCAAAGTTTCAGCTCCAAATATGGAGTCGTTTGGACGACGTAACTATTTTAAGATTTCGGGTCAATTTTTTCGTTGAGTGACCTGATAATCGATTCCCGTTCCTTGAGAGCTCTATACAGTGCGACCCATGTGCTGTACTTGATAACGAAATGTAAATTTCAAATACACATTATTTTTATTGAAAAAAGGGGATTTTATAAAGACACCGCATAATGCAGCTTGGGACACCGGTCTCCATTTCCAGATGAAGTCTGACGGGTTTACGTCGTTTGAAAACGCATCACAAATATTGAGTTAGTTGCCCGGCCGTTAGGTAGAGGATTTTAAGCGATTTTAACACAAAATTAAGCAGTTTTATTCTCCCAAAAATTATCGGGATTAGCCTTTAAGGTACCTCCCATATGTCTCTTACAGTTAAGTGGATTCTTCTCACTTAAACTGGCCTTTGAATACCACTAACACTTAAAGGTTAAGGCAGCTTAACTTTAAGGGAATTTTTTGATACTTTTAAAAGATACATTAGTTAAGAATTTAAAAAAAAGAGTTGGGCATTCAAAAATAATTTAAAAATAGATGATAAAAAAAGAGAATATTGAAAATTTCATTCAAATTTCTTCATTCTGAGTCAAATTATCACTGTTTGTAGTTTTGACAAGATGTGTGCTTTGAGGTAACAAGGGCACGTATATTCGTGACTTAGCCTCGCTTTCCTTTTTTTAAATCAAATTTTCAAATGGCGAACCGTTCTAATCTAGTTTAAATCTCGAGTATCCGATGCCACTGAGAGTTGATCATGGTCTTGTTTTGTTATTAAATAATTGATAATAACAATTAATAATTGAGGTGACATTTGAAGCCCAAAGAAAGAACTGCAATAGGCAGATTTAGCTCTTACATAATGTATGTTTAAGTATAATGTTAAATACCTACCCTTAACAGGAAGTTACGTATATATTCAGTGCAATCTAGTAGTTAAGTGACTATCTTAGACTTAAGATAACCTTTGAATACGGACCTAGATGTTGATTTAGAACAAGACATTTTATTTTAATACAGCATTAAGGAATGAAAGGTTATTGACATTTTATTTTAATGAGATTTGCGAATATTAAAAATACAATAAAGCTGTATAATAAAGTATTTATTTCAGGAAGACAAAAAGGTCAGATGCCTGAAGACGATTATACGAAGGTACAAGTTAATTACACTTACCTGTGTGATCATATCCAAGAACCAGTAAAACTTAGCACTAAATTATTTGAAAAAAACGTATTCGGCCAAGATCAAAAGGAAGAAATACAGAAAATTTTCCAGAAGTCTGAAAATGGTCGCTGGGTAGCTGCTGACAAGTTACTGATGTATGTCTTATCAAACTGTGGTGATGCCTATAGTAAATTTATCCAATGTTTACGAGAACTAGGTTATCGAGAAGTAGTAAAGCTATTAGAAAACACCACGAATGGTAAATTTATTTCTATTTTAAACCAGAACAACACACTATATATAAACATTGACAACTTATAAAAATATAAAAATACAAACGAACCGATTCTGTTCTTATTTGTTTAAATGAATCTGATTTTTGCGAGAACTGAATTTTATTACTTCCATGATTAAAGCTCGTTAGTTATTCACCTACCCATTTTAGGTGTTTTAACATCATAGAAAATTACATCCTAGAAAATATAAATGATGAATCCCTAATACGTTTTCTTATCTTTACTAAATTAGGCCTACAGCAGATGCCTTTTAATAACATGAGAATATACTGTATGTGATTATAGCAAAATAAGAAAGATTGAAACCATGAGCGATACTATAATTATCTTACTATAACTGGATTATCTCCCTTATTATTGTTGGTGCTTTCTACATTCTAACTTATGAGGTAAACTGGCAGACGATCACCTTTGTGTAACGTCATTTAGCAGACGACCGCCATCAAGACTGGTTGCATGTTCGATGGCTTCAATGTATTTTAATTCAGTACTGTTTCTCGCTCAATATGCTGACATTGAGATTTCATGTAACACATGGCCGATCATGACTGACACCAGTGTGGTGCAACGTTTCTGTAATATTCCCCGTTTTACTTGGATTGTTTCCATTATTCTTAGTTTGATTGTATTTGGGTGAAGCCTATGTCACTATAGGCCAAGGACTGTAGGCCTACAGCGTAATAGACACTTATAGCACGCACCCAGGTCCATTCACGTTTTTTTGTTAATTTGAAATGTCTATGTATATATTGGAGCCACGGCTTGCTGGCTGCGGAGGGGCAGTGAAGTTTTTAGGGGGGAGGGGGCACAGTCTACAGTAGGTATTTTACAGTTATGGTCGGGAAATTTTCTTTCAGGACCCCTCCCCCCCCTTGCCCCCCGCTAGCTACGGGCCTGGTTTTATCCCTGGCTTGGCCGGGAAAGTTCGTCGGTATATTAAGGCGTGTCAGTGATGTAGGACGGTGGGCAAGGGAAAATGTATAGTCGTTCGGATGGGACGAAAAAACCGAAGCCCCGTGTACACATTAGCCTAAACTTGAAAGATCCCCTGGTAGTTGGAATTTGATATATAAGTGAAGGACATAATGCCGCTGTCCGGGCAAAATTTCCCCATAGCACACTGTATGGCGTATGCCCGTCTTCATTAGCCCAGTCGGAGCAAAAACGTAGGACGTTAAACCACATTTCATTTCATTTGTCTATGTATATTGTGTCCTGTCCGTGGGTTGTCTTGTGTAATTGTTTATTATATTATATCATACAGGTAATAGTATTGAATTGTATATAATTTTATCATACAGGTAAAAATAAAACCAATCTGATGGCAGAACAAGACAAGACAAGACATCAGCTAGAAGACATACATAAAGATCGCGACCTTACTAATCAGGAAATAGAGAACCTGAAGAAACAGATGGAAACACTGAAAACAAGGCAAGATGAAGATTCCAAACAGATGTTGAAGGACAAGAAAAAGAAAGAACATGAATTAGAAACATATAAAAAACAAACTGAAGAGAAAGAAGCGCTGACAAAGAAGAGATTTGATGAGTTGGAGACATGTATTAAAACACTTACCCTAAATGAGGAAGGTAGGTTGATATTTATTTCAAATATATTCCGTGACACACTTATCGTCACAAGTTATTACGTCATACACTCATCGTCACAAGTTATTACGTCCAGTGGCGGCGCCAGCCGTCGGTGGTTGGAGGGGCAAAGCTGGGGCAAAGTCCAAGGTTAAGGGGGCAAAGGCACGAGCTTCAACTAGGGGTAGGGAGGTCTCCTCCAGACAATTTTGAAAAACAGGCTGCCGGAAATGCAGCCTGGCAGTATTTCATGCACTGGTTGTCTGGTAAAGTGTCAAACTAACGAACTTGCGAACCGCGACAACGCCCAATCACGAGCGCCAAATGGGAGAACTTCCACAGAAAATTTTGAAAAATAGACTGCGGGAAATGCTGTCTGACAGTATTCAGTCAGACACCGATCGTCGTGATAAGTAGATCTGACCTGATACCGTCCGTCGCCTGATCACTTGCGAACCTCAACGAAGTCCCCCTGTGAGCGCCAAAGTAGCGAGTCCTTGTGGGGGTATTAGGGACCTCCCCAAGAAAATTTTAAAAATAGACTGTCGGAAATGCTGTCTGACAGTATTCAGGCACCGATTGTAGAGATAAATAGAGCTAATCAGATACAGTTTGTCGCCTGATCACTAGTCTATCCGACCCCAGAGAGGAAAGTGTCAAATGAACGGACTTGCGAACCTCAACGAAGCCCCCGAAAATTTTGAAAAATTGACTGTCGGAAATGCAGTCTGGCAGCATTTCAGACACTGGTTGTCGAGATAAATAGAGCTGACCAGATACTGTTCGTCGCCAAATCACCAGCTTATCCGAATAGAGAGGGTGGTGTCAAACGAACGGAGTGAGCGTATCAAGTGAATGCATATTCTCGCAGCGTTGACCTATACCCAAAAACTTTGAAGATCGTAAAAAGCAATTCCCAAGTGATTTATGTGTTATTGTTTATAGTAGGTTTATAGTAGGTTTACAGCAGGATGGGCTTGGTAAGAAATCACTCAGCGGGCTCTACAACATGCAAATCTATGACTGAGTGGGGATGTGGGATTTAATCACTGTAGAAGGTATTGATTACCGAAACGTATCACAAATATATTTTATTTTTATTTTCTAAAATTATTACGTCATACACCTATCGTCATTGAAGTCAGAACACGTATAACAAACTTTATAGTTATTCTAGTTAGATGAAAAATATTAAATATGACTTATATATTACAGATACCATTCAACCACAATTATTACGTGGTACTTTGTCTGGTAATACAAGTGATACCTCAGATGAAGAAGGTAAGTTATTCTAATATATAATATAATATCCAACAAGGACTGACTTACCTGAAACAATATTAAATATGACTTGATAAACTGTAAATATAGTATAACATGTTATATATTACAGATACACGTCAACAACAACAATTATTTAAAGCCTGTCTACATGGTACTTTGGATGATATAAAAAACATGGTGAACATAGATATTAACGTCAGAGACAGTTGGGACCAGACACCGTTATTTAAATGTTGTTCATTATTTGTAAGTCCTGTAGATAAAATACAATATCTAGTCAGTCATCAGGCTGATATTAACGCTAGAGACTGGTTTGATAATACCATCTTACACGCGGCATGTTACAGTGGACCTTTATCTACAGTACAATATCTTGTTGATGATTTACACATGAATGTTAATACAACAGGTTATAACAAAATTACACCGTTATATTATTGTTGTATATCAAGTGTAAGTCCTGTAGATAAAATACAATATCTAGTCAGTCATCAGGCTGATATTAACGTTAGAGACTGGAATAATGATACCATTTTAAACTGGGCATGTGTAGTCGGTACTTTATCTACAGTACAATATCTAGTTGATTGTTTACATCTAGATGTACATGTCAAGAATAAATATGGTGAAACAGTTCTAGATCATAGTAGAGAATCAGACATTGAACAAGATAAAAAGATAAAATATATCACAGATCAAATGAAATTAAAATAAAATAAACAAATTTTAATAATTCATGTAAACTAGTCAACATAATGTTATTGTCTCTAGTCATACAATTTACAGTTTTATTGTCTCTAGTCAACAGTTAAAACGAGTGATGACGTATTATACTGGCCCTAGTCAACAGTTAAAACTACTGATGACGTATCACACTGGCTGTAGTCACACTTAAAACTACTGATGACGTATCACACTGTCTGTAGTCAACACTTAAAACTACTGATGACGTATTATACCGTCTGTGTCAACACTTAAAACTACTGATGACGTATTACACTGTCTCTAGTCAACAGTTAAAATTACTGATGACGTATTATACTGTCTCTATTCAACTGTTAAAACTACTGATGACGTATTACACTGTCTCTAGCCAACAGTTAAAACTACTGATGACGTATCACACTGTCTGTAGTAAACACTTAAAACTACTGATGACGTATTACCCTGTCTCTAGTCAACAGTTAAAACTACTGATGACGTATTACACTGTATGTAGTCAACAGTTAAAACTACTGATGACGTATTTGTACTTTATCTACAGGACTAATACTGTGTTTATATTTATTGTTTATTTTATTGTCTTCAATATTTTATTATATATATTTATTTTTATAAAACTTTTTCCAAAAACTCATCTTTATTTTTATACGCCCAATCTTGTCTTTGCACGTTTGTCTACTTTGCTGCATGCCTAAGCCCAACGGACAGAGCCATAATTTTCTTTGTGTCGTCTACAGGCCGCAATTTTTAATAGGTCGCCTTGGTAAATTGATTCCTTATACACCAAGGACGGCAACTGTTGATTTATTTTGATGCATGTCCAACCCCCAGGGGTGGTGAAATGAAATGAAATAGGGTTTAACGTCCTATAGGTCTGCTCCGACTGGTCTAACGAAGATGGACATTCACGATATAGTGTGTTATGAAAGACATTTTGACAGAACAGCGGTGCTACTACCTACTCTTATATCGAATTCCAACTGCCAAGGGATCTTTTACGTGCACGCCAATGTGTATAAGGTACCTCGGTTTTTCGTCAAATCCGAACGAATAGGCGAACTTTCTCGAGCAACACCGGGAGCCAACCTCGACCTCTAGGCTAGCGAGCCAGCGTCTTACTAACTAAGCCACCGTGTCCCCCCACCCCCGAAAAGAAGGGTCGGTGCCACACCCACTTTTTTGTAAATGTTTTATCTGTAAATTCTCTACTGGTCGCACTTATTAACAGATTTTGTTTAAATCATTTCAATAACAGGTTGCGTTGTACTTATTTATATTTGTCCATGTCATATTAATTTTGGTGCATGCCCGACCCCGCCCCCACCCCACCAAGGCAGAGCCACGCCCCATTTTGGTGTTTATCGTCTATAGGCGGCAATTCTGAATGGATCATCTGATTGCCCCGATCCCAAGAAGCGGGGTCACGCCAACTTTTTTTATTTCTGCTAATATTTTCTCTGTAAATTTTACTAAACAAACCTTCTTTGTCTCTTGTCATATTGAGAACTAGGTGAAGTCCATTTATACCCAGCCTTCACAGCAGATCCTGAGATTTCCTACCATTTTATTAATCTTTTTGACCCACCAAAATCGGTTGCCAAGGCAGCGGCTTTATATGTGTTTTTGACATTTCATAAGAGATGTAATTTGGTGGTAACTACATGTAGGTGAAACTCTGTTGATATACATGTACTACTGTTTGTATGAATATATCAATCCTTAACAAATTATTGTTCCTTCCTCATTTCAAAACAATATTTAGCGCGTGTGCGTTCTATCATAAGGTCTGCCATTGAGTCAACTGGCGTGGTTTCGATTCCCCGGTTGTACGTGACAAGGAGTAGGGTCGCCTGTCCAACCTCGTGGGTTTTCTCCGGGTCCTCTGGTTTCCTCCCTCCCACTGCTAAATACCCCTACGTGCAAGATAATTATTGAAATAAAATTGAACCATGTGCCAGTCCCGAAATGACCGAGTTTGTGTCGAGTGGACGTTAGACCCCACCCTCTCTCTCTCGCTCTCTCTCTCTCCAATATATTCGGAAACTTGAATCTTTGTGAAATTCAAGCATAATACATGTCTCTAAAAGATTGGGGAACTGCGGTGGCTCAGTGAGTAAGGCACTGGCTCGCTAATCAGGGAGTACATGATTCGATCCCGGTGTTAACCAAGAAAGTTCGCATGTATATTCCAGCGTGGATTCCCCATCTCAGAGGTGCAAGACGGAGGGTATGGTAAGGACAGGGTCTAGTGTTTCGGATCGGGTGAGACGAATAACTGAGGTCCTTGTATACGTAGACGTGTACGTAAAAGAACCCTTGACAGTTGGAATTCGGAGGAAGAGCCGATCGCCAAATTTGGTCGAGAAAGTTCTCAGAGATTTTCCAGTGTGGTTTGACTTTGTTATTGGTGCAGGACAAAAGGCATGGTAAGGGTAGCATAACAAGGGTAGCGTCTAATCTACCGGATAGTATTAACAACCGAGGTACAATGTACACGTTGACGTGCACGTAAAAGACCCCTTGACAATTAGAATGGCAAATTTTCAAACTTTGTTTCCCCCTTGTTAGTGCCGCAGCGCCACATTTTGGATACATCCCCTCATACCGCATTCTATCGCCTATGTCCGTCTTCAATAACATCTTGGGTGCAGCAATATCTGTCATATAACCTTACGAATAGAATCAATTCTTTGTATCTGTGATAGTTTGCAGGTAAAATACCCTACGTATAATGTGGACAAGACATTAAACCCCAACATTCCTGTTTGATTGATAAGATAAGATGTTTATTGCATCAAGACGTCCATTAAGGACAGCATGCATACATATACACGTACATTTATACATAATCATATGCATTTGATAATACATTAAATAAAAAAACACATATATGTACACACAAGTAAATATATTCATACAAACAGTAGTACATTTATATCAACAGAGTTTCACTTACATGTAGTTACCACCCAAAATTTCATTTACATCTATTATCAGATGCCAAAATCACATGTAAAGCCGCTGCCTTGGCAACCGATTTTGGTGGGTCAAAGAGATTAATAAAATGGTTGGAAATCTCAGGATTTGCTGAGAAGGCTGCATGTAAATGGATTCGCGTAGCTCTCAATATGACAAAGACAAAAAAGGCTTGTTTTGTCAAATTTACAAAGATAAAATATTAGCAGAAATAAAACAAAGTGGGCGTGGCTCCGCTCCTGGGGATCTGGGCATTCAGATGATTCATTCCGAATTGCGGCCTGTAGACGATATCACCAAAATTGGGCCTGGACATAAATAAATATAAAGAGGGACAACGCTGCTATTGAAATGATTTGTGATTCCGAATTTCAACAAGATCTGTTAATAAAATATTACAGACAAAATATTAACACAAAATTGGGTGTGGTAACATTCTTGGGGATGGGTCATTCAGAATGGCGGCCTGTGGGTGAGAAACCCAAACATTGGGCGTGGCTGTACCCCTGGGGGTCGGGCATGCTCCAGAATCTATAGTTGGAATTAGGGCCTGTAGTCAATTTAGAATTAGGGTCTGTAGGCGATAAACAAAATAATTGGGCGTGGCTCAGCCAATGGGGTTCGGGGCATGCACAAAAAACAATAGTTGTCGCGGGTTCGCTCATTGTGTTGTCCGGGAAAGTTCGCCTAGTCGTTCGGATTTGACGAAAAACCTAGGCGTGCACGTAAAAGATCCCTTGGCAGTTGGAATTTGCTGTAGATAGACCATAGCGCCGCGGTTCGGGCAAAATGTCACCCATAGCACACTGTATGGTGAATGGCCGTCTTCTTACCAGTCGTAGCATAGCAGTTGGACTTTAAACCCCATTTCATTTCATTTGTCTATGTATATATATTGTGTCCTGTCCATGGACTTGTAACTGTGTATTATATTATATCATACAGGTAATGGTATTGAATTGTATATAATTTTATCATACAGGTAAAAATAAAACCAATTTGATGACAGAACAAGACAAGACAAGACATCAGCTAGAAGACTTGCATAAAGATCACGACCTTACTAAGCAGGAATTAGAGAACCTGAAGAAACAGGTGGAAACACTGAAAACAAGGCAAGATGAAGATTCCAAACAGATGTTGAAGGACAAGAAAAAGAGAGAACTTGAACTAGAAACATACAAAAAACAAACTGAAGAGAAAGAAGCTCTGACAAAGAAGAGAATTGATGAGTTGGAGACATGTATTAAAACTCTTACCTTAAATGAGGAAGGTAGGTTGATATTTATTTTAAATATATTACGTCATACACTCATCGCCACAAGTTATTACGTCATACACCTATCGTTACAAGTTATTACGTCATATTCATGTCGTCATTGAAGTTAGAAGACGTATAATAAACCTTATAGTTATTCTAGTTAGATATATTAAATATGACTTATATATTACAGATACCATTGAGCCACAATTATTACATGGTACTTTGTCTGGTAATACAAGTGGTACCTTAGATGGTACTTTGTCTGGTAATACAAGTGATACCTCAGATGAGAAAGGTAAGTTATTCTAATATATAATATTATTGGATAGTGGTCTGACCTTTATAAAACAAGTTGATGATCTGTGTAGAAAGTGCTACTGCCATCTGAAGAACATCAGTTCGATCCGCCATGTTCTCACACAAGATTCGGCTTCAGCTCTAGCGCGATCATTAATTCTATCGCGACTAGACTATTGTAATAGTCTTCTCACCGACCTACCCCAAAATCAAATAAATCGTCTTCGGCGAATCCAAAATCTCACAGCAAGAATGGTCACAAGATCTCCATATCATTGTCACATAACCCTAGTTCTCCAAACCCTTCCTTGGTTACCAGTCGGTTCCCGGATAGACTTTAAAGTAATCTGCCTAACATATCAGTGTGTCAGTGGAGAGGATCCTGATTACCTCTGCAAAGTAATTCAACGGTTTATCCTAAAAAGACAGCTGCGTTCAGAAAATCTCAATCAGCTAGTGGTACCAAAGTGGAAACTTGGACAAAGGGCGTTTGCTGTAAAAATATCTAGTCAGTCAGCAGGCTGATATAAACGCTAGAGAGAGTAATAATAATACCATCTTACACGTTGCATGTTGGTATGGTACTTTATCTACAGTACAACATCTTGTTGATGATTTACACATGAATGTTAATACAAATGGTGTAGGTAACAGTACACCGTTATTTACCTGTTCTATATCAAGTGTATTACAGATACACCTCAACAACAACAACAACTATTATTTGTGGCCTGTGAACATGGTACTTTGGATGATATAAAAAACATGGTGAACATAGATATTAACGTCAGAGACAGTTGGGACCAGACACCGTTATTTAAATGTTGTTCATTAAGTGTAAGTCCTGTAGATAAAATAAAATATCTAGTCAGTCATCAGGCTGATATTAACGCTAGAGACAGTGATAATAATATCCTATTACACTGGGCATGTCGGTATAGTACTTTATCTACAGTACAATATCTACAGTACAATATCTAGTTGATTGTTTACATCTAGATGTACATGTCAAGAATAAATATGATGAAACAGTTTTGAATTATTGTAGGTCATCAGACATTGAATCAAAAGAAAAGACCAAAT